AGGCCAGCCTGAACTACATAGTGAGACTGTCTCAAAACAAAACAAATCCCACATTTTTTTAGAGGGAATTCTTCTGTACAGTAACTTTCACTTATCACCTAGCGATTCGCCTGCCTCAGCCTGGTTTTCGTTTTACTTTTTTGAGACAGGGTCTCACTCTGTAGTTGTGACTGACCTGAAACTCACTACGTAGCCCAGGCTGGTCTCAAACTCACAGCGATCCTCCTGCCTCAGCCTCCAGACTGCTGAGATTACAGGCGTGCGCCACCACGCCCAGCAGTATTATCTTTACATGCACCTTCAAAATTTTGATATTTCTTTCGTGACTTTTTTTGGCCAGGGAGACAAGAGTCTCACCACATAGCCCAGGCTTGAACTCAGATCGATCCTCTTGCCTCACTCAGCCTCCTGAGAGCTGGGATTAAAGGCGTGCACCACCATACCCATATTTTTTTTGTTTTTTTTTTTTTTTTTTTTTTTTTTTTGTACCTGGGATCAGATTTGGGTCCTTGCACTTGAGAGGCAGATGCTGGAACCATTGAGCTAAATCCCCGGCCCTAGCATCTTCATTTTAAAATATTTCCTAGGCGTAGTGGTGAACATCTGCAGTTCCAGCCACTCCAGGAGGCTGATGCAAGAAGATGAATTGAGTCCAGGATTTCCAGACTAGTTTGGGGAACATAGTGACATGTCATCTCAAAAACATAATCAAGATGTAAACAATAACATTTCACTAACTTCTCGATTACTCAATTTCTTTGGCATTCTCTTAAATACTTGCTTAGACTATCATTTCGGGGATGAGCCCTGGAATATGCGTTTTGTCACTGCACTTTTTGCTTTTGTCTCAAGAAAGTTTGTGCCCCGCTTCTGGTGGGCACTGGGGAGCCGTCGACAGTTTTAGAGACGGTGAGATCCCGGTTAGCACAGATTTCCAGAGTTCTCCCTAGGTGAGGAAGCAGAAATAGAGACTCAGGATCGCCGGCGTTAAGGATGGGGCTGCAGGAGCTCCGCGGAGCCAGGGAGGCAGGCGGAGTTCCGCCTTTCCCCACGGGGCAGCCCGGGGATGCGGTGCTCGCG